TAAATAATAATAATGTGAAGCTGTCTGTTGAATGAAAATGTGTCATTTCCTCCTCGACAGTGCTTGGTGCTGGCCCCGACCCGTGAATTGGCACAGCAGGTGCAACAAGTGGCCGCAGAATATGGCAGAGCTTCTCGCCTCAAGTCAACCTGTATCTATGGAGGAGCACCCAAGGGACCCCAGCTCCGTGATCTGGAAAGAGGTATTGTGGTGTTTGTTTGGGTTTCTTTGGGTCAAAATATGGGAACTTGTGTTCAAGAAGTGAATTGACACAATAACTCTTCCTTCTAAAGGTGTGGAGATCTGCATTGCCACTCCAGGAAGGCTCATCGACTTCCTCGAGGCAGGAAAGACGAACCTCCGCAGGTGCACTTACCTCGTGCTGGACGAAGCCGACAGAATGCTGGACATGGGCTTTGAGCCACAGATTCGTAAAATTGTCGACCAAATCAGAGTACGTTTATTTGGATAGCTATTGTAGAATACCTTCCCACCTCGTATGTTACTTTAAGAGGGAACCTGTTGCTAATTACACTGTTTGTGCAGCCTGACCGTCAGACTCTGATGTGGAGTGCCACTTGGCCCAAAGAAGTTCGCCAGCTGGCAGAGGACTTCCTGAAGGAATACGTCCAGATCAATGTTGGGGCACTACAGCTCAGTGCCAACCACAACATCCTGCAGATAGTGGATGTCTGCAATGATGGCGAGAAGGAAAACAAGTGAGTGTCTCCCTGTGCAAGTGTTGAAGCCAGTGTTTTGACGATGGCTTTAGGTGACAGATTCAGAAATTAAAACTTCATGTCGTGTTTTTTTTAGACTCATCCGTCTGCTTGAGGAAATCATGAGTGAGAAGGAGAACAAGACCATCATCTTTGTGGAAACAAAGAGGCGATGTGATGACCTCACCAGGAGGATGAGAAGAGATGGGTAAGTGAGATTTAAAATACTGATTCACAGCATTGAATGTACTATAAGTATGGTATTAATATTGAAACCTTTGAATCCCTTTTTAGATGGCCAGCTATGGGAATCCATGGTGATAAAAGCCAGCAGGAAAGAGACTGGGTTCTCAATGGTAAGCTTGGATCACCAGTACATTTAGATCACTGGTTAATCAGCTGTGCAAATGACAAGAAATTAATTTATCATGTCTGATTTTTATTCTTTAATTTTTCAGAGTTCAAATATGGAAAGGCTCCCATTCTCATTGCTACAGATGTTGCCTCCAGGGGTCTAGGTCAGTATCCTCCCTGAACCATTTTGTACTCTAATGTATTTGAAAAAGAAAGTGTATTTGCTTTCTTTAACTCTTCTGCTTCTTTCTGAGTTTCTCCCCTGACCTGAAGGAGCAGTCTGTGTGGCAGGGCCTTGGCATGACAAGCCCAGGTCTCCAGAGGGGGAAGGAGGATTCTTGGAGGTGTCCTGACTGGCGAGGCACGGGTCTCCCAGTCGTGCAGATATACAGAGGTGACCAGGCCCAAGTGCAGCATAACGCGCTGGCCTGCCTAAAAAGGGGGGGCGAGTTGAGGGCTGGCCACAGTTCCTCCCCCATATGCTCACCTGTTCTCTGGCAATGGTTTGGACTGCTTCACACACCCAGGCTCTGTAACTGTCCCAGCTCAAAGCCCAGCTACACTGTCTCCTATTGTCTTGCATGTATGTTTGGGCACTGCATTGCAAGCCATTTGAGTCATTTGGGGGGTGCTTTTTGTTGCGTAGACTCGTTGTAAAGCATGGGTGGAGTTAATGTTGCAGTTTCCTAAACTCCTGTCGGAAGAGCAGTCTGTCAGATCGATCATACCTTCACCTCTGTAAAGACATGGCTACTGGCGCTTTTGGTGACAGTGGGACATGCTAGTTGGACACACTTGGACAAAATCCAAGCTCACACTCCTCCCTCGCCTGCGTTTCAAAGTCATGTCGAGACCTGCCAACGGGAGACATTATGATCAAGTGAACACTGGGTCTGGAAAAATCTTGCCATGCCGAGAGTGGGGATGTTCTGTTTGTAGGCATCCTGCAAATTGGTTCAGATCTACAGTTTTCTTGGCAAGAGACACTGCAGTGTGAGCTTTATAGCGAGCATCTCAAGAGTGTGACTGAGGGACCTTGGTTAAGTGCTAGTTCAAGCACACTAGGAGGCAGTAGTGTGCATAGCAGCCCTACTGTATAGGGACACCTGTGGGTCACTTGACTATATGTGGGGAGTATGCTGCAATGGGAATGGACTAGTGAATGCATACTCCAAACATGGTAAGACTTCTGATCCATTCTTTCCGAGGGTGGTTTGCCACTGGTTCAGGAGGGGAGGGTTTTTATTTTATCCCACTGGATTGGAAGCCAATGGAGTGTGCATCGTTTCTCTTTTCCCACCGTAGTCTCCCCGTGGAGTAAATGTCCAGCTGTAGTTTTGTCTAATGCTAGTCTCTTGCAGCCTTGTGGATTAACTAGCCATCCCTACCTCATGACCGTACTAACTTTTTTTTTTTGTTTTGATCTGGTTGTTGTGGTGGCGCTGGCGCACGTCTTTGTGTGCTGTCCTCCTTTTCCTTTTTGCCACACTGCAACACAATCTTACAGATGTTGAAGACGTGAAATTTGTCATCAACTTTGACTACCCCAACAACTCTGAGGACTATATCCACCGCATTGGCAGAACGGCTCGTAGCCAAAAGACAGGCACAGCTTATACCTTCTTCACTCCGAACAACATGCGGCAGGCCGGTGACCTCATCTCTGTGCTCCGTGAGGCCAACCAGGCCATCAACCCCAAGCTCCTCCAAATGGCGGAAGACAGAGGAGGTAAATCTAATTGGTGAGATACAGAAACTGTGCTGTGAACTGCAGCCACTTTTTTTTTTTTCCCTGCTGCTGTTTGTTCTGAGAAGTGGATGGGGTTATGAAAATGTTACTTATTGGTACCCCAAACCAGCTTTTGGCTCTTTGTTTATTTAAACTTGACTATAGCCAATTGCCTCTCTTCTTAATTTTTTTTTTTTCTTTTTTCCAGGTCGTTCAAGGGGAGGCAGAGGTGGTGATTATAGAGATGATCGCCGGGATAGGTATTCCTCTGGAAGGCGTGATTTTGGCAGTTTTAGGGACAGGGATAATGGTAGGGGTTTTGACAACGGACCAAATAAAACCTTTGGTGCAAATTCACAGAATGGAGGCTATGGGGGCAGTAACGGCACCAGCAATGGCTTCAGTGGAGGCAGCTACAATGGTAATGGACAGTCCAACTTTAACAACCAAACAGGCGCCTTTGGAGGCCAGAACAACTTCCCGGCCCCACAGTTTGCTCCCGCTAAAGGTGGCGCACAGACTGGCGCAGCTCATCCCCCATTCCCCTTCCCCCAGGCACAGGCTCCGCAGCAGCATCCCCCACCACTGGTGCCCTACCCCATGCCTCCACAGTTCTCTCAGTAAACACAACATATACTTGAAAGAAGTAATTTATTGCTTTTTGTCTTGTTTTAAGTTCGACACAGAATTTTTGTATTTACGACAGGGTTACAAACAACTTCAACCTCTATCAAGCCTTTTAAGATCTGCAGTGCAGCAATAGTGGTGTTGCGCACATTTTCCCCCTTACTATTTAATTTGTTACATTCCTAAGTAATGTTTAGTTATGTTTTGTACTAGGTAATTACAAGTGTATTGGTTTTTCATGTGTATCATTGAAAGTGAGAAGCTCCTACCTTGGAAGTGCACTGCATGATCTTTCAAATAAAACTCAAAAAATACTTGGTGTTTGTGGAATTTACTGTTCTGAAATCTATTAAGGAAAATATTTTAACGTTAATACTTTCAATGTCCAGCAGGTGTCACAAATATTCCAGTTGAGTCGTCCTGTGTAGTCTTAAGTAAATCAACTTCTTGAACCAGCATCACTTGATTTATATTGTATCATATTGCACTACTGAAATCATGTTGCAAAAATAGAAATGTGGACACGTCTCTTCCTTCCTCATACACTCCTGCCTTTTGTCCCAGCAGTGGAAAGGGATTGGTAACTTGTTTTCCCTGTCAGTCTTGTGCTTGCCACATGCTGCTAAAGATTTGTAAGGGTGGCAACACTAATGATCTTTTAATGAGCCATTCTCGCTCCCAAAAGCTCTGTGCACAGCTGACCGTCTAGGTGAGTTATAAGGGAGCAGTCTCCACCTGCTGGTAGAGCAGAGGGGGTTTTTCTATCTCAAGACATCTGCACTTCTG